CATTAATGCATTAAATAACTACATGCCATGTGTGTGCCACATAGGGCGACTGCTGCAGTGAGCGACTGCAAGTAGCATTACTTTTCCTATTTACAGGTATAAAAATTGAATTGAAAAAGAGCTTTCAAGTGAAAAGCTCCTTAGTGTCTTATAAAACTTTACGCATATGACCAATTATTAGTTTATATTTTCATTGGTCTAAAGGATTTTAAATAAATTTATTATTTAATACATTTGGCAAGATTATTAATTTTATAAACTGTCTTAAGTGGAGACTCCGAAATTTATTATTTGAGAATGTACGCATTGAAATTAAATGCCTAAAAAAATACACCAAAAGTAAGTATGCAAATATTTACACAAAAAAAAAAAAAAGACGTAGTTTAAACATACACTTTACTATGTTTGGCTAAGCACAAAAATGTAAATTAAAACTTACTTTAAAGTAACTACTCTGTTATAAGGGCGCAAGTGTCATATCATTCTCAATTACTTCTTTAAGTTAAGAAGGCAACCTGGAAAGCAATCTAGGAATAGAAACACCAAAAGAGCATTCCAGGCAAGCAATAATCAATTTCAACTTCTTATTTTCTAAAAGATTACTGTATAAAAAGATAGAAAGGAAAACAAAAAAGGGGCAGCATTGTTGGCATCAACAAAAACATCATTTATGATGACAATAAGAGAAGGTCAAAAACCAAACATAAAATACAAGTCTCTTTCCCTCCGAACATGGCATTCATTGTCATGAAAAATTGAAAAGGTCGACTTGTTTTTTTTTCCTAACCAACAGAGTATGCAGCATCTAATTAACATCTAGAAAGTATGAAACAAGTGCATGTTTGGTATGCAGTATTAGACCTAGTTGATTTTAGTTTCTTTTCTTTTTCTTCCATGATAATGTCCAAAGTTGTCCAATACTTCCTACAAACATGTCTCTGATGCAAAGGTAAAACATTCTATACCTGGCAGATTAAAATGATCACTGATATGGATGGAAAACCATTTGAGGGTATAGAGCAGGTCCTGAGGAAAAACAGGTGCTAATGGTGAAATAACAGGATGACACTGTGAAATCATACCCAAAAAAAACCTGTTGGGCCTATTATCCATTTTCCCACACAAGAAAAAATTGAATGTAATTGTCAAGACTTACCTCATATTCTTTATGTCATATGCTGCTGCTACAATTCTGCAGATTATGTCTTCTTTTGTCCACCGTTTTTAGATTCAACGCAAGGTGTAAGGGGTGGGAATGATGGAACGGCTTGCAGTATGAACTTGCGGGCACTTCTCAGGCCTTCTGATGACCTTGAACCCAGCTCACGCAAATGACCATGAGGTGGAGAAACTCGCTTCTTATTTGGAGATCTTACTTTCACGGTATTGGGTGGGTTAGGAGTGCCCTTTAGAATCTCTGGTGTGTCATCTTCCATAATGTTGTGTAAATCATTATAATAGTCAACGGCTTGGGGAAGTTTAGTACCACTAAACTGAGCCATGGGAGTGATTGGTGAAACACGCCAACGAAGGGAACTTGCTGAAGAAAAATGTCCACTTCCAGAAAAGGGTTGAACTTTCAAATTGCTTTCCCATTCTCGTGCATTTGGCTTACCAGCAAGATGCTCCATATTGCTAGGTCCATGGTGCCCAAATGAGAAGTCATTGACTGCTTCTGCTTTGTGGTAATCTAGTTCATTATCAAAAGAATCTAGATCGAGAATTTCTTTAGAAGATTCTGAGATCATATCACGATTATCCAAATTCCTAGGAGACCTTGGGAACCTGACGCATGGTGCCCCGAAGGTGGGACCAGATTCTGGCGATTGGAAGTATTTTCCAGAAGAGAACCAAGCTTTTGATGCACCTTTTCCCTGGCTATACAATTCATAAACAGAAAAAGGAAAAATATAAATGCCACGAAGCTATTTCAAATTACAAGTAACTAGTTAACCATTTAATCAGAAATTAATTGCATGGGGATCGAAATGTATCTAGAAAGAATTAACCTTACTCTGAGTACTGGAATGATGGTGTCAGAGGAGTCAAATTATGAGGATTGCATAACTCAGTATGATATAAGACATTTCCAGACTCCACCATTTCAAGTTTTTCACCAGAGGAGCCATCTGTTGTTTCATCAGTACATTGCATGCCCACATCCTTATTCACGCCACATTCTGAAAGATGGAGCATCCAGTTCAAATAGCAGTAAAACCATAAAAAGTTCAGTGATATTTTTATAATTATAAGAACATAAATTGCTATTTATCACTTTGTTGGAGTACAAGAAAATATCTATTTTCGTACTTGTCATTATACTCTCCTTGGTACCCCAAATTCAAACCCTCGTACAGAATAAAAAAGGAAAAAAAAAAAAAACACACTAGGAACCTCACAAGAAAACTAGTCCAGATTTAGCAGTGTTCAAGCAAAGCTGAACCTGCTAAGCAAGCAGCATATTTTGCTACTTAGATATATAGGGCAAACAGCATCTCCAGGTCATTTCCATTGCGAGCAATTCATACTCTTATTAACCTGTTCAGACACATTAATATCTAGTCCTCAAGTCTCCTGAGTATTAACGAGTAGAATCTCATGCAATCTGATAACAGAACTTAAAAAACCTTGATGTAAATCATACCTCCCTTTTGGCCATAAACATTTTTACATCCTTCGCATCGACATCCATCAGAACAACCAACTTTTGCCTATCCACAAGGTGCAAAGAAACTCATTTAATAAGAGCAAATGCTATTAAGTAGTACTTAGCACGACTCAGAGGTTCTGAGCCCCAACCCCACAAAAAAACGATGTAGATAATTATTCACACAAGCACACCCACATACCTGATAGCACTCACAGTACTTTTTGAGGCACATTGACTTCTTGCAATTGCACCCTCTTTTGTGCCTTATGGAGGACTTTGATAACTGAGTCTCGTCTTCCTGTGAACATTTCAACTTAATAATTCAGTTAACATTACATTGTTGTACAGCATAATTATAAATTTCAATGTCTCAATACCCGACAAATGCTTGAAGATGGGTAACATTACATTGTTCTGTACTATCTTTGGAGCAAATGCCAGAGGATTGCGAGATCCAATTTGTTGGCGTGTCTCTAGAACTGTATCCTCATATTCAGGCCTGTTAAAGCACCCTTGGCAAGAACAAGGTTCCGCACAATATATTCCAGCAGCAAAGCAATCGCAGTAACTACAAGGAAACAAATTACAAAAGAGCATAATGGAAGTGCAAATCCAAATTGGTAAAAAAACATTTTATGCACTTACAGCTTCAAGCATTTAGACTTCTTGCAGTTGCAAAGTTTGCAACTGTAATCATCATTGGACTCGGATGTTTTCTTCCTGGAAAAATTGCAACTAAAATAATGAAGTAAAAATGGAGACAAACATTAAAACTCATTCTACATAAGATAACTACTTGTAGGCTTGCCTCTTCCTTTTGGGGCTTGACCTTTTAAACTCCTCTGCATCATCAGCATTTCCAGTGTTAGACTTCCTCTTGTTAACTGGAGTTGATTGATCCTCAATTGGATTACAGACCATAGAGTTGTCCAAAGGTTTCACATTGTAAGTGGACACAGAAGTAGCAGAATTAGCTGCCACCGAGGCATAATCGTTATTATGCCTACTGTCATCAGGTATTCCTAGAATACTTTCCAACACAGACAAATATGAAGAGTTCTTTGAGTTTTCAGAAAGATGAGAGCTCAGAGAAGTCACTTGTTGCTCATCCCATATACTTAAGGTATCCTTTTCAGATGATTTCACAATTATAGTTTCTCCAGCTCCTACTTGCGTAGTACTGACAACGCTATTTAGGTGCAAGCCAATACCTAAAGGAGTTGGAACTTTTATGCTATAATTCCCTCTATTTCTAGGATAAACCATTTGCTGGGTCATACCAATCTGACTAATGGGAGTTGATGGTGTCTCCAAGGATATTGATTTGGGGCCCTCTCTATCTGCAGAAGAGGTAAGTATCCTTGAACTATTTTCAATACCTGAAGGGTTTTGTGCATGCCTATTTGTTATTATTTTCTGCTGAGCATCTTCAAAGTGGAGACAACTTACATGCAAGCCACGGGGTTGAGCAGCCTAATAAATTTGTACAAACCGCGTGAGTTAAAATTTCTAGAAGTGTTTTATACTGATTTAACAAAAAGTAATTTCCAATACTCCAAGATGTTTTTTCACTAGAATCCAAGCAAAAATTATTTTCTTCACTTGCCATTCAAATAAAATTTACTAGAACTAAATATGTGATTTATATGTACAAGAACACTTATAATTTTTTCAATTAATGTGAGTGCTAAAGGTTATAATTCAACAAAGTTCTCTATCCATAGAACTTGGAGATACATGAGCATCCTTTCTAAACATTGGTTTATTATCATACAACTGACATGAGCTCTTAAGACCAGTTGAAATGTATGGTTTCAACTTCGACCAATATGTTATAGACATCAATACACGGAGTACCTTCTATCATTTTTAGCGTGCATGGTATGGTATGACACCAAAATTGAAGAAGTTCAAAATCCAAACTACTTAAAGCTCAGCACAATTGATGCAGCATGTTGAATTTCTTTTTCTTAGAAAAATCGAAATCAAATTAAGCACTTTTAACGGAAATCGATATCAAACAATAAGGTTAAAATTATGCTGTAAATTACATTTGGCATCAATATTACAGATAGTTTTAACAGGATAATGTTACTTCACAATTCAAAGCATAGATGCATGGTTAATGCAACATATGTGCTTCTGAATAGATGAGTAGAGTATGATAAGATGCTAGAGGAGATTGGTTTAAGTTAACTGTCAAAAGCATGAACCAGATGCATTTCTTAGGAGAAAGAAANTGAAAGCCTATTGACTAAATCGGCCATTGAGCCGGAGTCCTGCACTCTAGGTGCTCTTGGCGGGGAAGATTTGAATGAGAAAATTTGGCTTAAGCAAGTGCCTCTGCTGAAAAAAGAGCTTGATTTTGGTAGGATTACTTATAAAGAAATACATACGGGCTTCAATTATTTGAATTGAGATAATTAATAACCAGCAACCCCAAAGAATAATTTCTAAAAATACAGATAATCTGCTAGAGAATTAAACACATAGCACGACACATTAAATACCATGGGATTACTCTGCACTTCATTCTGAACTGGTTCATCCAAGGCTCCAGTAGTTTCTACAGAGCTTTTATTCCCTTCATAAATCTCTATAGATTTTGGCAGTAAATAAGAGGAATCATCCACGTGACCTGTCTGCCCTGCTTCTGAATTCTGCAATTGGAGATTATATATGAATATGAACCTTTTTTACATCAAAGGACGAATGTACTTCTGATTTAACACTGACCTCAGTCATAAATTTTTCCGGATGCTTGTTGGTTATAGCAAGGTTTTCAGACAAATTGGATTCAAACTTTGCACCCTGATCAGCTCGTATAACACCATCTCTGGACATCATATTTATTTCTATTGCCCTTCTATCAACTGATGCATCCTTATTATTTCCTCTTGCACCGTGTGTCTTTTCAAGTTTCCCAGCAGATTCCTTCGAGTTATTTACTCTAACTGGTGTCTGATCAATGTCATCAAAGTATTTCAAACTGGAATCTGCTGAAACATTAGAATTAAAAGAGTCCATGTACACAGCGTCATCCAGGAACCGGTCAGCACATCCTATGGAACTTTCGGTTTGGTCGTCCACAAGTCTGCTACTATCTAGTCCTTTCTCCGTACAAGTATTTAATCCACTACCCAGCCCGTCATCCAGTTTGCCAGATCTGTCTGCAGCAGTGATACTAATCCAGCAGCCTCCATCTTGTCCAGATAATTGTGTACTAGGTAATGGAGGAAATTGTGAGCTGCATAACATTTTACATAATCACACAATTTCTTTCATAATGTAATCTTAAACCATGTCCTGCAAGTCGAAGACAACCATAGAGAAACTTTCTTTAGTCATAAATAAACTTCAAAACGTGAAAAACCTTTTGAGTGAACTTGACAGGCCATGAGGATTGAGTCTCGGTGATGTGAATACAGTAGGAGGAGAATTCAGTCTGGTAAAACCTTGAGAAACTGCAGGTTCCTTGACAGGCTGTATGGGAGAAAGTTTACTAATGTAACTGAAGACAGGTGAGTCCTAAGTTGAAGGAAATGATGGGTGAGAAATCAATTAAAAAAATAGATTAAACAGCTCTCAGCAACATAATCACTTTAAGCCATTGTTAGAGCCATATTATTTAAAACTTATTTTTCTCCAACCTCATTTTCAACCACACATTCTCCCAATAAAATAATTTTTCACTTAAACCCAAAACTTTTCCATACTTTTAATTACACATTCTTCAAAAAAATCACCTTTTTTTTACAAAATTTATTCTCATAAAATGGGGGATCAAACAGGGGCTAAATTTTCTTGATCAACTAATTACAGCAAGTCACGAAGATGAAGAAAAGTTCCTTTCTTTTTCTGGGTAAATAATTAAATATCAGCAGACAAAGACATGTATAGACCAGGATATTACATATATTACCATTAACAAGAAATACGGATCAGAAGCTGAACTTCCATATAGCTAAGAGAAGAAATAGAATTCAAGCAGCAGTTAAAACACAATTCCATGCAAGGATGCGAATACAAAATGGGAGGGAACATTACTTCTTTCATGCAAAATTTCCAGAACAACTAATAATTCATTGGCAGAACAAGTTAATCGTTCGTAATACCAAATCGTTAGTAAAGATTCATGATGTAGGATGAATTAGAGGAAGAAATGAATAACAGAATTACAGCAAGAAGAAGAAGAGAAAAGGAGGAGGAGGAGGAGGAGGAGGAGAAACAGACAGCAGCAAGGGGAAAGAAGAAGCAGGGAAGGGGAGAAAACGTTCGTGGCCGTCAATAATTTTTATTCATTCATCAAGTGTCTAAATTATAATATCAAAACCATATAAATAGTAAAAATCTAGCTAAGTGGTGGGTTTGGGTCAACCTACTACTACAAGTCCAATAATAAAAAACGTAAATGATAAATCTCAATAACAATAAATTAAGTCTCGACGATGTCCGCATCAACACTCTCGGGTGGAGAAAAACTTGACCCTGTCGAGTGGATAAACTTCAACCACAGGGGACGATCTTTCTTAAGAACCAAATATCGAAACTCTAGCAGTTTGATCCAAATGTGTTAGAGCTTCTCTGTAGGACTCCATGTACGGTATGCATCTGGTGGAACTATCCAACGAGCAAGGAAGCGCAAAATCTCTCCATTATTGGTCAACACAATCTGCTCATCTTGGAGGTGGGCCGTTTTGGTTGCTGTGGCGGATTTTGCTTTCAATTTCAACGATGAATTGATGTAGGATTTTGGGCTCTGATACCAATTTGATGTAGGATGAATTAGAGGAAGAAATGAATAACAGAGTTGCAGCAAGAAGAAAAAGAGAAAAGGAGGAGGAGAAACAGACAGCAGCAAGGGGAAAGAAGAAGTAGGGAAGGGAGAAAACGTTCGTGACCGTCAATAATTTTTATTTATTCATCAACTGTCTAAATTATAATGTCAAAACCATATAAATAGTAAAAATCTAGCTAAATGATGGGTTTAAGCCAACCCACCACTACAAGCCCAATAATAAAAAATATAAATGATAAAGCCCAATAACAATAAAATTAAATCTCGACGATGTCCGCATCAATTCAGACCTTAAAGAATATGTTCTTTACAATAAAAACAGAATGGAGGGAAGAACACAAGGATGAACAGTCTCTGGATAATTAAGCTAGATACACGAATATTTACACCAACCAAAAAGAGTATATTTGATCACGTAGACACCTTGATGTAGAATATTAGAATTTCTTGCTAACAAAACATGTGTGTATACATCAATTAGCCCCCCAAACATGTAATGCGCCAACTGACCTTATCCCAATCCACCGAATCTGAATTCTTCGAATCACAAGTCTCAAGCCAGTCCCAGTCGGGCAATGATTATTCCAATTGTGGCAACTGCTATAATGCCAACTAAATATAAAAATCACTGATTTCTATTCTTCAAATCGCTTTGAAAATCCTAGAAGTGAAAAATTATCCTGCCACCAAGGTTTAAAAAGGCGAAACTAAGTACTGAGAAGGTTTTTCTTTGTAAGGCGAGGCATACGCCTCGAGGCGGATTGAGGCGTAAGCCTCACAAAAAAAAAAAAAAAAAAAAAAAAAAAAATAAAAAAAAATAAAAAAAAATTAAA